TTCTCACCCCCTAAGAGTGAGCCTATTATATGCGCCACCCTGTATATGTACGATAAGTGAATGAACACGAAAGAACGAAAAATATATGAATGATGAAATGGTTAAAGGACACATAGAGTCAGACACAATGGAAACATAATCAGGAATGGAAAACAAGGATAAATGCAAAAAAAACAACAACAAAAAATACAGTGAAGAAAAAGAAATGAACAAACCGAAGAAAAAACACATACACACAATATTCAGTGAAATTGCACGTTTGCACACCGTTTAGGCTGTCGTGTGCAATATTTTCGTGTGCAAGAGCGAGGGAAAATCGTTTAACATGTCGCTGTTAGACGGTGTCCTGTGTATGCAATGCAGGAAAATAAGTCTTTGGATACTTTTTATCGATTTTCTAGGCACATTCAATCGAGGAAGAGCCCATACACACCGGGCGCGGATAGAAATGTATGTATAAGGATGCAATGATAGACACTTGATAAGGTGTAGTAGGTACAACCAGAGCAACGCACTAATAATGACGATGATATGATGGAACAAACAAACCATCCTCTCGTCTCTTATTGCTCGTTAAAGCAAAGTTCAAAAAATACGGCTCACAACGCATTATCCAAATTGGCATCGACCAAAACTGAATCAACTCACTGACTCGCGTATGTGGATGGATGTATGTATGTGTGTGTATATGTGCGATAAGTTATACGCACATGTTTTACGCCTCAATTCCATCATGAATTTTCACGAAGCTTTTCTATGCGCTTTGTTTTTCTTTTGATCTGATGTTGATTTTATGATTCAACCCAAGTACCGAGTCGCATAACCAACCCACCAACACACAAAACTGAATTTTAATTAACGAAAAACTTTGTCGCTTTTTGCATAAAATTCATTCACTGTCATTTTCATCGAAAATTATGTGTGTTTTTTCGTCGGCAGATAGAAAAACATGAACAATCGAAATATGTTTTCATTTCCCGAATCTCATTGTTTTGTTTTCGTCGATAGAACGATATGACAAATGAATTATTACGTTGTTCGTAATGTTATCCGCATCGCAATCGAGCTGAACCAGAGAGTGAATATATATTACACAATGGGAAAAACTATAGGGACGGAAACAACCACTCGCTCATACAATGACAGCCCCAGTCAGCTACTGCATGTATCTGTATGTATCGTTGTGTGTATGGGAACTTTGGTTGACAGTTGTCGAATTGTGTGCGAATACAAATAGCAAAACAAATAAAATGACACACAAAAAATAACACCGATGTTGCATTCATATTCTGCTGGATCCATTGTCGTTAAAGGCAAATTGACAACCACATTACATCGAAAATCATCGAAAATTCACGTAAAATTAAAATAACTAAAAGCACTTTTTCTCTACAAAAACCAAAAGAGAGTGACATGGAAGGAAACTCGGTCGAATTGTTGGTGCACAAAATCAAAATGTGAGGCTTCACAAAATATGTAGTAAAAATTCAAAACAGGAATTTTAAATTATTTTGCATTTTAGTGATTTGGATTATTTTTTTTCATGTGTTTACGTGGCTTAGGCCAAAGGTTTATATGAGAAACTTCACAGGTTTTTATATTTTTTTTTTGTTTTACACTTTGAGTTTGAGTAGTATTGTCCTTTGAGTAGAGAACGTTTTACGTCATATATATGCACTAATAACCGTTTACCGAAAAATGTGTGTGATTATCGATTTTCAATGAATCATCATCGATTTTCAAATCTCTTGAAAACATTCACGATTTTCCATTTTGATTTAATTCTATGAATTGTTCCAATCAAAATTCCAATCACACAAAATAAAATTGGCTTTTCTTTCAAACACTCGAAAAAAATTTGTTTCTTGCGATTTATAATTTGTTGGAAATTTCATGGAGAATTCGCGCGTCGTAATTTAACTAGAGCAATAGCAGTATACACACAATTGGTGAAAATTACGAAGGAAAAACACGTAACTCGTAACTATTCTGTCTATAAAGTTGCGTGTTTTTCCTTCGTAATTTTCACCGATTGTGATTACTGTTTTCACGGATGCTAGGCGGTTCCGTTGCAATTCTTTTCCGTTTATTTACTTTTCACCAACTTAAAAAAAAACAACTGGAAGGATTTTTATTTTTTGGATTGTTTGATAAATAACAATTTTCATTTCAATCGCGTAACAAATTCGTATCAAATTAAAAAAAAAAAAACGAAATTATCGTTAAAATTCGTCGTTGGTTACCTACATATATATATATCGACCGAAAACAAATTTCGCTCTTTCGTTTCGCTCGCTTGATGAACTACAAACCATTCGCATTGAACGCGTTATTCTAACTGATTTTAAATCCAAATAATGTGTTTGCGGACGTAAGACTTGTTTGCTGTTTTGTTATACTTCGGCGTTTGAGCCAAGAACACACCACGAGAGCGAGAGAACGAAAACACAATTTCGTTCATGTATATGACGACACTCCAATGAAAGAGAAACGAAGTGGATAGAGAGAAGGAGAGAGCACACAAACTTACACTGCTGAGCTAGTACTTGCTTGCAACGATACACAGAGAGAATATGCGCTGCTTTACAATCAAACAATAGTATGAATAAAAATCGAATTTATGTATTCCGTCAAAGCCCGTACGAATATGTTTGTAAACGTAGTGTATAGTACACAACACAAACCACTCACACAACGAAATTGCGCATACCCTCTCGCTCATCCGTGTACCATACTGAGCCACCAATACCATTGCAGACGCATTCGACTCGTGGATAAAAAGCTATTGGAAATGGTTTACTCGCGCGCGCCAATCAGACTTTATAAATGTATTGGTATGATGTTTTCTTTTTTCCATATCTGCCTTTCCCTCTCTGGCGCTCATTCCAAATGTGCTTTGCGATTCGAAGAAGATGCGAAAAAGAAGTCAAAGAATGAAAAAACAAGCAAAAAGAATTAAAGAATAGCACACCACCGCATAGAATTGAATCGAATCATAAAAATACGATTCTGATTGGAAAGTATGCGAAATGATGAAGAATGCGAAATAAATAGGTATCTTCGCAAAAACAAAAAATTGCCATTTTTCAAAGATCGAAAATCGAAAAGTTAGATATAAACAATTTTGAATCAATTCACAAATAATAAAAGTGAATAGTTAATCGTAAAACATGAAGAGTAAATCTTTAATTTTTAACGAATATCTAAGATCAGCTCCATGAATATCGCAGTTAAATTAAGTCATAAAAATAAAACATTAGCAAAGTAAAATTCGGTTTGAAGTACAATATTTTTAATTGAACCAATAAAAAATTGCAAAACCTCCAATTAAATCACATTTAAACGAATCCCAATTGAAGCATTTTGGGATCTATTTCGAACGCAAATTCATGAAACGCAATTTATTCGTCAATATGAGCATTCAGTTGAGATCATCACGAAAGATTTATCTTTTGAAAATGTTCAACCTAACGCCATCTGAATGTCGACCATGTCATCAATCCGAATCAAAACATTTAAAAATCAAACTTTTTTTTTTGCTTTTTTCTCGCATTTCTTTAATAAATGAAACATTGTTTATACATTTGTATATTTGTTAATTATACTTTTGCTTTTGTTTTTAGAAAATATTATTTTTGATTTTATTTTTTTTTAACTATTCGGAAAAATAAAGAACAAAAAAGGTATTCATATGTCTGGAAAGCACTGCCAAAAGATTATAATAAAATATCGTATAAATAATAAAATGTGTCTATTTATAATATGAAAAAAAAAACGAATTGCGTTTCATCGTAATTCGTTTCCGATTTTTCGGGCTGACATAGTTGGCTCTATGAATGTTTTTTTTTTTTTTTGAATAATGGTAGCCTTTTGAATGTGCTGCTTCTGGTTTTTCTTTTCATTTTTTCTTCATTAAATAAGTTATACAAAAAAAATTATGCATATATAATTTGTTTGTTTGTTTTCATGTCAGTTTTTGTTTATCTAGCATTTGCATTACTACCTAAGAACCCTTGAAATAGCTAAGTGTTATATAAGAATTTCTTTTCTTCACTAGTTGACATTTTTTTGCGTTTGTCTGTAGCCTAATTTTTGTATCACAAAGATATATGTATATATAATAAAGTTTGAAGGGATCTTTTTTCTTGTTTTTCATTTAAGGCAATTTAAATAGTACAAATAATGCTGTGTGTGTGTGTGTGGTGTGAATGTGTACATGCTTGCGTGTAAAAGTGTGTGTGTCTATGTGACGGATATGGTTCTTTTTTGCCACTGGATTTTCACATTTGGATGTGAATTTTTAAATCCTATTTCTCTTGTAGACTAAGTCGTAGCACTTCTTCTAGCATTTCTTGTTCACGTTTTAGTTCTTCTTGTAAAAGTTGTTGTTCTTGTTCACTGATTCGTAACGCTAATGCAAGATCGGTGTCAAGATTGTTGGCTGTGGGTCGGATGGCAGCATTGTGATGTGGTTGTTGATTTGGATTCAAGTCACCGTTACCGGTATTTGTGATGTCTGTTGTTGTTGTCGTCGTTGTTGCTGTTGGATAGTATGATCCATATAAGGATTCCTGCAGCACCCTAAAATAAAGCATCGCATTGCGAAAAACAAACAAGAATATAAAGCAAGGGTGTACTAGCAAAGTTGGTTTTTTTTTTCTCATTTCTCAAAAAAGGCGTTTTAATGGACTCTTTTTAAAGGGTTTTAATGGATCGAGACTACTTCTTCTACTAGCATTAGCACTGAGTAAGTGCAGAAAAAATGTATATAAAGAAACATTAATTAACGTCAAACTTGATTGGTTACAAATTTGTTAAACTTAATTTGGTTTAAATGTACCTTTGTAATTGAGCATCTTCGTCTGTTAAATTGGCCGGTGACATAGGTCGTTGAGCTTTTAATGCTTCCCAAATGTCCACTTGCTCGGATTCGGTGCCAGCTTCCAATAGACTCTGATTCAATGCATATTGCAATAAATCATCTTCATCTTCGAATGGTAATTGTCGACGATAATCGTTGCTCTTGTTGGTATAATGCGGAGGAATATCAAAACAACAATCATCGATGACACAACTCAAACGTTGACTGTCTTCTTCACGTAAATAAACGACATTTTTCACCGGCGTATCTAAGCCAAATACATTTCCAAATGTAACACATGCATTTAGTACATGAAACAATGGTATTTCAATTCGAACCGGGAATCCAGCCGGCAATTGCATTGTAATGAAATCCTTTAATTTCGATACATGTGGACTTGCCATGGTTGACATTAAATCCAAAATTGGAAGCACTTGTTCTTGCAATTTAATTGGAAATTCTTCGCTAAGCCATAAATTTGCTTTGAATCGTTGCACTTTCGTTGTGACTTTTTGAGGTTGACCAACATCACGACCATTCAAATCATCACCAGCGAAATACTCTTCGGGTGTTAGCGCTTTTGTTGGCACATCAATTTGTGTGCTTGTCGTCACTTCCGTTTCATCGCCAGCACGGTCTGCTGCTGACGATGCGTCTCGGAACAAAGTTTGGTCAATATTTGAACTCTCTTCTTCGGCCATGCCAAGGAAACTTTGTAATGGCGTACGTGAATTTCGAGACTGAAAATAAAAACATTTTTTTTAGATATTTCGAATCGAATGTTTGATCTTACCTGATTTGTAAGTCTGTTTAAGTAAAAAAATACAAAACGAAAACCTACCCGAGCTTGATTTTCATTCAAGTGTTCGTTACGAGTTCGAGTGACAAATTCTACATTGCTTGCTGCATATACTTTACAATCATAGCCATTGATTGTTTCGGTTTTATCACTGCGCCAACCCCATATGCCAGTCTTATTTCGTTCAAAACTTATTTTCTCCATGTCAATGCGATTCGTTGTGACCGGTGCATGTAAACGTGTTGTGACCGATTCTATTGTTGGCACAATTCCATTCAAATCACTAAGGCGACGTTGGCCATTCACATTCTCCGCGGCGTTCAAATTAAATTCAGCCGATTGCATTTGAAATTCGGTAAAATCTTGTGCATCATGATCAATTTCAATCATTGTCGCTGAATCGGCTGAAAAAAAAAATTAAGAAAAATTGTGTTCGTTATACCAAAGAAATGAAAGAAAAACCAGATCAAATACTTACCATCGCCTTTGAATAGATAAGTACGATTACCACGTTGCCATGTTGTATGATCAAATCCAAGAAGCGTTGTATCGATACGTACATTTGAACCGCGTTTATACACTTTGTATACGTCACTTGGGCACAATCGTGATACCAATGGAACTGTGAATGTAAATCAAAAACATTTAAATTATAATTACTTCATTTCCGGTTGATTTATCGCCATATATAGAAATTATAAGCAATGCAAACCATCTGCTTTTCAAACAAGTGTACATTACCCCATGAAGTAAATTCCCATTTCATTTCAACATAGAAATCCGGTGCATCGATCAGTCGTTGCAGCAATTGTGGTACATGAGTGACTCTTTGGATGTGTCGTTGTAAATCACGTACTTCCAATATTGCGGTTAATATGGCTGCATCACTAGTACAAACCGCCTCTTGAACCACCGACCATCCATCACACTCGGCATTTGCATTGCACTTAGCGGCCAATAAAACTTTAACCGACTGCAAGTGACATAGTCGAACAGCTAACATCAATGGTGTTCGTCCACGAGGATCCAATTTTTCAGCATCATGCTATTATATGGGCACAAAACAATTGCATTATACACAGTTTTTATTTATCGATTGTTTTTTCATACTAATTAAGCAAATTCAATTATACACAGAGACAGGCGATACCTAAAATTAGCAACGATAACAAGCAACCACAGAAAAGCGAGTATGCTTACACAAAGGTTGTGTGAATGTGTCTAATTGAATTTGGAATTTATATGGAAGTCATCAATACCAGTAAGTCAATTGAGTATTAAAAGTGGCTTTGCGTTTTTTTCTGTTGTTGGTCGCGGCCACCATATACAATATAATTGTACTTTTCATAAATAATTGGATTTATTCACATATGCCATTCTTGTTCGGTTAAATGTGTTATGCTCATGATCATATATTATCGAAAGAAGAGTGGAAAGCTGAATACAACTTTCCTCACCCCAAACTGTCTGTAATTTATGAATTTCGAGATGGTGGTGGTGGTGGTGGTGTCGGCAGTCACATAGCAACACAGTGTTTAGTTTCATATTACATTTTGCAAATAGGCGACAAAATCTATTATTTTTCTATTGTAACGATAATTTGCGCACAAAGTCAAAATCAATATAAACGTCCGTTCTTTCGTTTCGTTCGTCCGTTATTCATTATTTTTGAAATATCGAAGCGCATATATCTTCTATTTGAATTGCACTTCAACGTTATTGATTTTGAGAGTTTAGCTCATATTACGTATTCAAAGTACTTGGAATTGGAATCTGATTTTATGACACGAGTCGTTTGGAATTATCGACAGCCACAACAATGAAAAAGGTTTTACATTTAAATCATCATTTATTTAGAAAAATGCGCTCAAAATGTCAAATATAGATTCCATACATATTTAAATCATATGAAGTTTTGGGGTAAAGGAGAGAAATATTATTATAAAGAAGAAGAAAAAGTGATGTTCGTCTATCTAGCCAGAACCTAAACATTTTTTTTTTGTGTCGAACACTCTTATTTCACGTTATCTCTATATTTGTCTCTTTCATTCAACTTGATCTTGAATAATACACGTTATCACGTCATGAAAAATGTGTAATCAGACTATATAAACAAAACAGCTTTAATCTGACTTATGAGTATTCTGTTTATTTTCTACATTATGCAAAATGTCAACTTACTTGATTCGTTTTCAATAATTCCTGCAATTCCTTATGGTCATCGTTCCATACCGCCCAATGTAGCGGGTATTCGGATTGAATTTTTTCGATGGTTGTCATTGTGAGACTGTGTATCCTCTGTTTTTTTCTCTTTTAATCTGTTGACTTTTTTTTTATCAGCACCACCAGTTGAACTGATGCAAAAATTAATCAATTTTGTCTATCGTCGAAAATATGCCACGATGAATATTGCTTACTTCTTCTTTTACACTCACACACCTTCTCTCTCGCTCTCAATTTATCTCTTAGCAATTAAGTGAAATATATCGCAATGAGCTGTTAGTAGCATACGAAGTCATTTGCAAAATTGTAATGTTTGTTTAGAATTCAAGTTGTTGATTGGATCGTGCAACAAAATGTGATATTCTATGTGTTTAGAATATATTGTTCAAAATCAGTTGTGTTGTTCGCGGAATACGAATTTTCGTGATAATTTTTCGTGCACTTTAGTTTTCGTTACATGTATTTCTTTTTTCCTCTTCTCTCCTTCGAAAATCTAATTGAAAATATTATCGAGCGAACGCGAAAAAAAAACAGGCAGAGAGATTCGTAAATTGAGATATTCCAATGTGATGGTAGGCCAGTTGATTCAGGAAAAGCGATAAATATGCAATATGCAATGATTCAATGCTCAATTCTATTGATCTAACGCAACAATTCCCACGATTTTAAAAAGCACGGGCTACCCGACGTATATATTCGTAGTCACAAAGATACTTATATGATATCAAACTCACTGATTTTCTTCTTAAATATTTAATATCGATTCTCTTTATATTTTAACTGACGATGCTATTTAGAGGAGAACTGATTAAAAAAAAACTATACAACACTCAGCTTATTTTTGTACTCTACACCGTCAATTGTAAGTAGATGTTGAAATAAATAAATATAAATTTATTCGAAATTGAAGGTTTCAACAATACCGTTTCGTTGAAATTCAATTGCAATTTAACTTGTTGTTCTTTAAATTGGTTCTTGTTATAAATAAGCTAGATCATTTCGAAAATGAACGCAAAAACATCTTCTTTTTTTCTCTACATTCACAGATAATAAGCGCATGAAACCGTCTGTTGTTGGAAGATTTGATATAAAAAAAATGATGTTGTCGGAAAAATAAAAACTCACGACACACAAATTTATCGCAAATTCTATATGGAAGAAATTTTTTTTTATGCAAAAAACTACACACACACACAACGCTGTTTAATGACTAAGAAACGATTCGCAGAATTTTCAAAATTATTCTCAATCCATCGGCAAATAAAAAACGATGTTGAAACAATTATCGTTCGATGAATGGAACTGTCAATTTTCGAGTGCGGGACAAAACCGATCGTCAAATTAATCAAAACTAAAATGAAAATCGAACTTAAATGCGAGAGAGAAAGATATGAATACGTGTGTATATCGCGCACTGACAAATAAAATGTTATGATATTAATTGGACGTTATGTCAAACGCGATTTGTTGTCTACATTTCTGTATTGTCATGAATAATAAATTTCATTCCAATGCATACAATGAAATCTTACTAACACACTCACACAAGGCAATCCAAGCAATCAAATTCGATGTAAAACTAACAGATGGCGCTAATAGTTCACAATTTACATCATTGGAAATACCTTTTTTTTTGTTCAAATGTAAAATTAAATTTGTAAAAAAAGAAGTGAAACAATCTTTATGCGAAATTGTGCAATTTCAATTTCGCACATTTTATTTCATAAAAATTGTTGTTATGTTTATGTTTTTTTATTTGTAAACCTAGATGGAAATTGAAAAAAAAACCAACTGGATAGTTCATGCGTTGTAAATTTATGGAATTTCTCAACTTTTCGTGTATATTTTTTTTTAATCGTACGCATTTAAATAATTGCTTCATGGTAAATAATATCGTGAAGGTTTTTTTTTTTTTTGAAAAAGTTCCATTTCGTTGATTACATGGAAATAGCCAAGCTACAAACCTCTCACTTTCCAATGAGAAACTTGTTTCATGACCCCCGTATATAGGCATTTGGTTTATGTGTCAAATGCTCTTACATTTCGATGGTGGTTTGCGCAATAGTTTGTTGATGTAGGTTTGGAACTGTGTTCAACACCATTCATTTGCTACAAGATGACGTGCGGTGTCCGGAATCGTTTGAAGCGATTCGATTTCAAGTTTTGATTGTTTTTTTTTATCACTGTGTGCACTATTTACAATGCACAGTGCAATCAATATGTGTTATCCAATTGGAGGATTAAAAAATAATATGAAGCGGACGATTTTCTCCGTTGTATGTGACCAATAACGACAACATAAACCAAAACAATTTATTGTAACACATATATACATGTACATAATATTCAATGCTGCTGAAATTAGATGAAGCGATGCCAATTTACGTGCACTTCTTTCTATCTTCCTTCTATTTTGAAATTTATTCGCCTCTCAAGCGCAACCAAGCATAAACCATGAACAACATTAGCGATAGTGTCTGTGCATGTATACATTGATGTGTGGTTGTGCGCACGTTGGCAATGCAGCAATTGGCAAATGGAATGAAGAAGAATGAAAAGCGAATAAAAAAAAAACAAAAAATCATTTGGCGTTACAAACGACCAATAACACCAGAAACCCTATGCGAATGAGTAAGTAAACGAGCGAGAGCAAAAAAGAGACAAAGAGTTCCATGTTACAAGAGCTCGACAACGAACGATAAAAACGTTTTTGGTTTTTTTTGAATTCCAAGGTCAAACCATTAGTTCGCATAAATACCTGCACACAATTTGTGTGCGAAAACACACACAGTGAGTGAGTGAGTGAGAGAGAGAGAGAGAAGAGTTCGCTTCAATGGCATTCGTTCGTTTGTGATCACAATTTTACACAATTACTACACATATCATCATTATTTTTCAGGCAATATTCATTTTCTCAAGGAATTAAGTCCGAAATAAAGTTGTTATACCAAGAATAGGGATCACACCGACAATAACGACGTGATTCTTAGATTTTGATTAGACAACAATTTTATGTTTATAAAGCAGAAAATTTGTATAATCAATATCAGTTATTTTCCCAGAATGGAATAGTTATCACAATTAAAAGGCACCTGAAACACACAAACAAGAATGTGGACGAACCGAATTTAATGTGTTACAATGGAATGATGAACTTTTTCGATCGAACACAATTTGCAAACCGCTTAGCATCATAAACCAATTTAACTGTTTGAGGTCAAAGCAAAACGAACGACAATTTTCAATTCATCGCGCATCGTCTTAACATAAAAGGTTGAAGAAAATCGAATCAAAAAGTTCATTCATAACAAAAAAAAGTCAACTGTCGATACTCTTTCCATTCGCAAATATGTATACGGAAAGGTATGTTGTGTAGAATAACGAGAAAAGAAAATAATGAGCAAATGACCTTATTATAAAGAAATGTGTTGTGTGTGCGCATTGCCATTTTTTCTTTCTTTTGTTTTTGCCTTACAGCAATGAAAATCAAAGCGCGCATAAGACTTTTACGATGTGGGTCTGTGCGAATGTATGTTGTTGCCTTGTCACGAGATGCAATTCCATATACTATACATGCTCCGTTTCTTGTTGCAGCGGCTACTGCTGTTGAATGATTTGATGTTGTTTTTTTTTTCATCGTCTTCGGTTGAAAATGCAAAGAAAAGAACGTGAATTAGAGTGTCGGCGCAACATGCTAGCACATATATCGTAATGCGTTGCACGCCTTTCACGAATATGAGAGCAGAGAGATTGTATGTTGTTTGACGACCACGGGAAACGAAGTGAAAGAAACAAAAAACTATAAAAAAAAGAAAAGAAATGAAAAACGAAATCAAAACAAGAGAAAGAGAAAACAGCGGATATACACTCAGCGTGCGCGTTCGTCTCAATGTTTTTGTTGCGAAATGCTGTGCCATGAACTGGTGAAGTATGTGAGTAAGTATGTAGAATGCGGAGAGTGGGTTTTTGTTTCTCGGACATCAACGACGAAAGCGATGTGCTTACTGACGACGACGACGACGACGGCGACAACGATGATGATGTTAAAGAAGAACTTGAGAGAGAAAAAAAAAGGAAAAAAGAGTGGAGATCAATTGAAGTGATTATTGCGCATTATGTACATGATATTTGCGTCGTTGTTGTTGTATGGTTATGGTATTGATGCTCTCTGTCGCTACCGCGTTGTTGTCGTCATTATTGTGATACCTATTTATTGTGTTTCGTACACGTTGTGGTCTTAGGTTTCTTTTTTTTTCTTTCTCATCTTACATGACTTTGACCAGAGAACATATGCGCACACAGCTATGCGATGTTGTTGTTGTTGTTGCGTTCGCCTGTTTTTTATGGTTCTTTAACTTTTGCTTTTGCTTATTAATGTACTCATTGGGTTCATTTTTTTGTTTGGTCTCGCAATCCGCAATTGGAAGTTCAAGTCGTTTTTGTTTTCTGTTCACTCTTCTATCACTCTCCATCTCATTTCGTCTGATGTTTTGCTGCGGTCGTCGAACACTCTCTCATTACGTTTTGTTATTATATTAATACCATTGTATCATTAGGCTATTGGTTTTTACTGTCGTTTGGCTAACATTCGCTTCAGTACCACGATGATTTATTATTTATTTTCATCGTCAATTTTTGCAAAATGCGTCCATGTCTCTTTGTGTGTATGTTTGGTTTCTTCATTTGCTCTTCGCCTTGTCTAGCGAGCGCATAAAATGCGATATTAATTCCGATACAAAATCAACTTCTTTTCTCTTTTTTTTTTCTTCTCCCGATAGACGTAAACATAACTCTGGCTGAATGAATGATGATTACACCAGCCAGACAGCAAAACTATAACGTACACTCGTATGATGACAGAGCTTTGGTGAAGAACCATTGCTAATTTCAACCTCAATTTGCCAACATCTATTCAATCCAGATAACGATTTCTCTCTCTCTTTCTCTCACTCTCTTTCAATGTTTATTTGTTTGTTGCGCACTCTAACTTGAGGCATCCGTGTCATTAAGTGCAATTTAAATTGATTGTGCATACGGAAAATGTGAGCCAAATAAAGAATTTTTATTTTCGTTCACACTCACTCATGCGTGCGGAACATGTACATATAACATTTCATAGTCCAGCAGTACGAAGATCGAGAAAAAAAAGAGAGTTGAGATGGAACAAGTAAATCTATCTTATTTGAATAAATTGTAGTTTTAAACGCGAGTCAACAAATGAGAAATTTATTTCTGGAATGACCAATGCATTGGACGAAAGCGAATGAAAAAAGAAACAGAAGAATTACCAGCTATAATCATTGACAAATAACACAAATACATTCTTCGTTCACTCATAACAAGGTGCTGGCTGAATTCAAAGGCAAACCCAAAGAAATTGGTAAAAATAAAAAAAACAAATGGTCATATTTCATGTTCTCTTTAATGTATAATCATAATGTATAATTTAAAAAATACGAAAAAAAGATTCATTTCTCCAATTCTAATTTTAGATGGATAAATTGCAATTTATTAAAAATGTTCATTTTCATTGTTGTTTGCCTCTCATTTTGCTATAAGAGCATTGACATAGACTGAAATGGTTTGTTTTTTTCTTCATTTTTTTTTTGTTGTTTTTTTGTTCTATTTTGCTTTTGTTGAGAAATTGGTTTGAAATTAAAAATGTGTCGCTGTTTCCGTGCACACCTGAACGAAATTTTACTGATTTTTATGTTCTTCGTAAAGATGTTCCCGTGTTTCTTTATTGGATTCCCATTTTTTACATATCGCATTTTCCGGTGTTGATTTTTGTGGGATAAATTCGGGATTTTTGGTTTTGTTTAAGCATCTTTTGCCGTTTTTTTTTTATTAAATCATTTTCTTTGCAGTTCATTGTTATTTTTAATTTTTGTGATGATTTTTGTTGACTTTCACTATCATTCTAGTTCGATAATTTCTCTGTAATAATTTCGTAATATTATATCATTTGAGTGTATTTGTTTGTTCTTTTTTCGCATACTTTTTGTTACAACAAATTTTATAGATATTTCTCTTTTCATTTAGTAGATTTCTTTTTAAATAATTTTTAACGGATTGCATTTTCTTTTCTACTTTTTCCCATAATGTTGCCATTGTTTCATTTGTTTGTTTTGTAGTTAATTTCTCTCTTTTTTAAAAATATACTGAACATTCAACGATTCTTATTTTTCATACATTTTTTTTCAGGTGATTTTTTTGTTTGTTTGTAATGTTTGTGTATTAAATTATTTTCTTTTCTGTCTTGAACTATTTATAAGACGCGCAAAAATTATATACGAGTGGAAATGCTTAAATATATTGAAACACACACACGACATTTTGATTGTGTGATAATTCGCGTCGACTAGACGCATTTAAGCAATCGATAATTGCATTTTTCTCATGTCGCCGTCTGTCACATTTATATTCGGTACATAATTTTTTTTCTTTTGTATGTTACTTTCAATTTGAACGCGGCTCAAATTCGTTAGGTCTGTTTGTAATAGAAAAAAATGAGATGATGTAACACGAAACAAAAGAACGTATCGCGCGTTAGAATAATGCGACACTGTAAATTTGTAAGGGCATTTCACGGACCCTTCGGCTCGATCGAATGATACTTTTGTAAAGATCAACTATTTAATAGAATTTTCTGTATGAATAATTTGAGGTTTCTTTGCTCTTTCTCTCTATTTATTTCAATTAATATTTGTTTTTTTTTTTTACTTTCGCTTCATTTAAATATAAGTCCATCTTTAATAAATTATTTCCATAATGTTTCACTTTCGTTTAAATATGGAATTATGTATTTTAACAGTATTTATTTGAATCTTTGTGGTTGTTTTTTTTCTTATTATCATTCTAGTGGTCTTGTTTTCGATCATTCCTTTGAGTGTGTACATTACATTCGTTTGGTTCCTTTTCCGATTAAATGAAACAAAATACGTCGATCAGGTAAACTTTGGATTTGATGCAAAACAACCATTTAAAAACCATTTGAAGAAAACAAAACACATTTTCATATTTTTTTTTTTCCAAAATCAAAATAAATTCATTAACATAATTAAAAAAACCTTTTGTTTACGCATATAAATATCATTTTATGTATATATAATAAAAAAACGTCACGGTTTTGCGTCACAGCCGCATGCGCTGCGTAATTTGGTGAAAAATAAATGGGCGAAAGAAAAAAAATAAGGCTTCAATTACAAAATCTTTCAATTGATTTTTTTTGTTTCTTTCTTTCTTTTCGTTTCGTTCATGTTGGTGTATACACAGTTCTTCAAAAATACTATAGCATGGCCGGGCTATATACACCTCGCTCACATTCGCACAAATATTCGACATCATCCTTCTGCTCAATCGTAATCTTAAGTGATTCGAAAGAATAAGAAAAATCTCCAATCATTTTACCGAAATAACAACCAAAATTATTATAATAAACTATTCACACATCATTCAAACTTGCAAAACATTTCATTTGTCTGAAAATTTTTATGCCTCGTTTTGCCACTGATCCAAAAAAAAAATACCCAAAAATGCGATGCTGTAACTTCTTCGCTTTGCAACAGTCATTTAGCGTTCCGGTATTTCATAAATTAAATTTAATGGCATTTTCTTTGCAGCGAATGTACATTGAACCATTTTTATGTTATTGTATTTTTGCTTGCTTGTATGCGAAACTGAACAGAACAAAAAGATTTACCTTAACCGAAATTGTTTCGTTTTAACGCAATGGCTTAAATGTTATATTCCTAAAAAAGTACGATGAGAGTATATGTTTCGCTTGATTGGCGTTTTCACACTACGAAAAACGAATGGATCATGATAATAATAATAATTGATGATGTTTTTGGTTGTGATGATGATGCGACGAGAATATACTGTCAAAATGCTGTTGATCGATTCGATGATAGTTCGAAATATCGACCAATTTGGTTTTATGAATGAGGTGAATTATTTCATTGCCAAAAGGCCAATTCGCACATAATTCGCAAGCACTCATTTTGTTTGTGATAATACTAAGAGAAGTGAATTTTGTTTATATTATTAAATGAATGAATTATAAAATGGTCTCACGTTCATTTGATATTTCGGCAGAAATCGTACGTACTTGAAAACATACACATTTTTTGAAGACACTTGCTCAACGACATATGAATTTATATGATTAAAAATCAGCCATCTCAAATGCAATATTTAAAAAAAAATCATTTCAATTCAGTTTCAATCAAGAATGAATCGGACGACGAACATATCACTAGAGAAAAAAGCTAATCAAGTCACCAATTTTTTTTGGTCCATCCTTTCTCCAACATTTACAAGTTTTCTTTTAATTGAATTTTTTATTCCAGATTTCTTCACCAAAATTGTCCTTTATTTCTTTGACACCATCAATTTTTCCAATATATTTCAAAGCAGTTTCTTTTTTCTCGATAACCACTATCCTTACCATGAAAACTGAATCGAAAAAAAAATGGTGAAAACGAATTAAATCTGATTTGATGTTTCAGAAAACCGTCTGCGCAGTTAGAAGCGGATAAAATAATGTCCATATCATTTTTATTTCCTTTTCTTCGTCGAAACATGAATTTTGAATTTTTTAAAAAATCGAGTTTTTTTTTTATATCAAACTAGCCTAAACATGTGAATTTATATTTCGAAAAATTCCAAAAAAAGTCTTTGATCATTTTTTTATCTGTTCATTAAAATATTCGTAAAATTGTTATCTCGTAAAAAAAATCAAATTAGAATTTTTATTCTAATTTCTTAATATTTTCATCGACCTTTGAATCAAATTTTACACCAACTTTCGAAATAATAAGCACCGAGAAGAGTAATTAGTCTTTTAAATGAAATTTTTTCGTTTTCATCCCATAAAAGTCTCCGTTTTGTCCTCGCCGTCTGCGTCGCCATAAGTTTTCCCTTGTTAGGAAAATAAAATGTGAAAAAAAAAATAAAATCATAAATCGAAACGTTTTGTTGTTGTTTTTTCACTTTCTTATATGTGCAATTTTATTTGACGAATCAATCAGATTTATATTTTGCTCAGAAAAAAAATATATAAATTCAATAAGAAAAAAACCAATTTTAAACACTTTGCAATATCGCAATAACGAAATTCCTCATTCTGTTTGAAATCAAAATTTATTTGATTTTCGAGTTCATTTTTTTTTTCTAAAAATTTCACAAAAAAAAATAAAAAAAAAATTAAAGAAGTCGAAGAAAAATTAAATAAAAAAAGGTATTTTATGTATAAGTATAGAGCAATCTTCTTCTTCGTCTTCTTTTTTTTTCTCTTTCATTTTTTTTTTCTTCTTTCATCGAAGGGTGTGGGAAACTTGCATATTTAATTTTTTTATAATAACTATTTATTAAATATTAAAAATGTTTGTAAACGGCAGATCTCGCTTCTATCTTTTTAATCTCTCTCACTGTGTTTTATTTTTTAATTTTTTGTTGTTGTCATCCTAATTACATTTTTTAAAGGCCAAATTTTGAATTTTTGTTTGAAAATTTAAGAGACAGCGAATGCACATAAAACACACATTGAAATTGTTGAGCCTGAAGAGGATTTTCTTTCTTCTTCTTCTTTTTTTTCAAATTGTTTCTCAAAAGATGAAAAATAAAAAACCAAAAAAATTATCTTTCCTCTTTTCTTTCATTCTTTTGTTCATTTTATTTTCATTGTGCGAATTGAAATGGATGAGAAAAAGAAAACGTTTATCGTTTAGTCGAACCGAAACAAATTTAAAATCCGAGAGAAATTCATTCATATTCTCTTTCTGTGTCTGTCTCGCCAATGGCGCGGCGCGCTTTTCTTTTTTTTTTTAATTTTCAACAATTTTCCTTGTGTGTATCGTTGTACAGTCCAAAAAAATAAAAATAATTTTTTCTTCCGTCTCATTTAATTTTTTAACAATAAATTAATTTTTGTTTCTCTCTCTTACGATTTACCAAAATCAGAATAATAAATGTTTACATAAAAAAAAAATTCGAATCGGAAAGTGTAATGAATGACATCTTATCATGAAATGGATGAATTTTTTTTTGATGAAATGAATTTACTCTTTTATGATGTTTTTTGTTTTGTTTTGTATGAGTGCCTGAAACGAGGAAAATCGTGAATATTAGTGTTTTTCTTGTAGTTGTTGCTTTCATTCATATCAATCTAAAACAAATTAAACCGAAAAAAGTAAGTGTATTGTTCGTATTTGATTCTTTTATCATTTGAATTTTCCTCATCAACATGTGTATACATATATGTGTGTGTGTTTAATTTTTCTCTCAGAAATTTAATATAAATACTTGGGTTTCTTTTGTTTGCAATTTCGAAGTGCGAATCATTTTTAATTTTTGGCGTACGCCATCGGCCAGTTTCGTTCTTTTTTTCAAAAGAACTTCAAATTATTCTAATCGCTTTTGTTGATGAAATATTTCGTGTTTGCTCAGTGTGTATATAATTTACAAAATAAAATACGCAACGATGTTCATTGTGTATGATTTTAATTCATCAGCTGCCCATGAACATTGAAAATATTTTATGCATTCACATGTTTGATTCACGAAGCGCATCACTGAATACTTTTCTCTTGCTCTATGTAAGAATGAACGTGAACAGAATTGTTTAGTGATTAGAATGAATTGGTAAATTGGTTTTAACGATTTTATTCAAATTTGTTTCGTACGTATTTTGAATGAGTGTATTTGTGTTTTACTTTTTGTTTGCCCATTCATTTTTCTCTCTCGAGTAAATCGAATAAAATTGTTTTTTTCTTATTATTGTGTGTGTGTGCATGGATTTTTGTCTTTGCATTCGATTTGCCTGCATTTTCCATATTACCATTCCATAATCCATACATATATAAATATATATAAAATCATCATTCATTTTTCGGCGCACTATCTCAAGCGAGCGCGCGCGATCACGATGCATTTTTATCTTAATCATTTAAATCATACACATCATATAATTTTTTGTTGTTATCATATCTCAAATATTATTAGTAATATGTAAAAAATAAAAACAAAAAAAGGAATCATCATTTTTAAAGTTGTATCTGTATACTCTCTTTTCCTAAATCGTATTTGTTTCTGTTGTGTTGTGTGTTTTTTTCTTCTTTTCTGTAAGTGTTTTAATCATGATCCACATCCTTCTTGTAACTATACGCCTAAGAATCCTTAAAAATATTTACATTTTACACAAAAAATGTTTTTCGATGAGAGCAAACATTCAAATCTATTGCTACACTCCATCATCAAATGAAAAACGTCATTTACAGCCGATTTATTTCTTTTGTGTGTGTATGTGTGTTCTCCTATATAATTTTACTTCAGATTTCATTCACTTTAAACATTTTGTTTTGTAATTATTTCATCAATCTAATTCGTCGGCTGGTTTAATTCATCATGCAATTTTTCTTTCGTTATTTCGAAATCACGCATTTACTCTCGAACTCGTTTTCTCCTAATATAAGAGGTAATTCATGTAGTTTAATTTTCTTTGTTTCTTAACATTTCTATAGTGGTCGCACGAACGCGATCATCCATCTTTAACACATCAACACACGCATACACACACACACACACGCACTTCTTCTATTTCGGTTGGCTTGGAAAATCTGCGCACTTTTCTTTTATAAACTTAGCACGTGTTTACCAGCTTTTCTTTTTGCCATAGATGATTTCTATTGGATCTTTCTCGGTGCATGAAAGTGTGTGTGTGTGTGCGTGTGTTTTTTCGTTTTCTCTCATTGTTTTTTTTTTAATGTGAATTTAAATTAAGTTTCCTGCTCATGATTTCTTTCTTCATCTCATTTATAATTGTATTCTTACGAATGTAAAATTCAATTAAATAGTATGTCTGTGTGTTGATTTCGATTTTATATTTGTTGTTGTTGTTAATCTTCTATGTTATTCTGAGTGTGTTGTTGTTGTTGTTGTTGTTGTTGTTGCTGTTGTGCCATCATCTTTTAGTGTTGTTGTGATTGTGGTATCTGAAGTTGTGATACCGTGGTGGACGCCGTCGTGACCACCGTCGACGGTGTTACAATTGTGTTGTTGGTTATTGTCGATGGTATATCCTGTACGTCCCAGATTTCTTCCAGAAATCGTGGCAGTTTACGATTTTTCAATTTCAGTGAAAAGCACATTTCTGAATTTTGATTGCCCAGCGTTCGGAGTTCGGTTAAAATTGCCAGCAATGTACCGAATACAATCATACATTTGACATCGCCACCGTGCCGATTCAATATGTAAATTCGTAATGTGTCTATGTAATAACTTTGGATTGCCTCAACTAATTCGGCTTGTTCGAGACCCGGTCGATCGGAGAATATAACAATTGCGGTGAGTAATGCATATTCAACATTATCGACACGCATCGAGTACATTTGACGGCAAAAATGTAACAGATCTTCAATGGTGTCTGCCATGCCGGCCATTCGATACGAGTCACGTGTATACGATCGATTATTGGCAAAGAAAATGGAATCGGAGGCCGCATCATACCGACGGGCCATTCGTAACATCATCACTTCACTGGAACATGCCTGTGTGTATGTATGTGTGATTTGTCGATATTCGGTCAAGCGAACGCGACGACGAGACAGTAATTTGATGCGAATCAACAAAAATACACCGAATCAATGTTTATTTATGGACATGAAAGTAAAATAAAGAATAAAATACGATTAGAAATTTGACCATCAACCTAGAATAGACTAAAGATCAGAAAATTTATCCAATCAAATGTGATGAGAAAACGGCAAATTTATCTTTAAAAAAAAAATGTGAACAGCGATAAGACATTGTCTTTGACATGCTTCCGTTACCTTTAACAATGTAATTTGATCTTCTTGGGGAATTTTCGTAAATGCTGGCAAACCTTTTGCAAACTCAACAATCAGTTGTACTGTCAGAATGGTGATTTCAGTGATGTGACGAAAATGAACATCATTTTGATCCTCGTTTTCATCCGGAGAAGTTTGCTATAATTATTGTTTGGTTTTTGATGTTGAACGGAGTAGAGAAGAATGCATAAAAATTAGTATTTCCTTTCACATACTTGTCTGTTGTATCAAAACATGCTAATTACATATTATTACACTTACGATCATAATTCGCTTTAAATCTTCTTCGGATGGTTGTTCGTAGCCATCTTGATACCAAATCAACTTGTAAATCACTGCTAATTGATTTTGTGTTAATGCTGGGATGTTTCGTGCACGATTCTCGTCCAATAGTTTTTGCGGTAAGAGTTGCTGTGTGTATGCAATTATTGTTTAGCGAAAGAGAAAATAAAAGCCACAAATTAGAATATGAATACGCATTCAAATGAAACGAATTGTAAAAAAAAACGAAATGTGCGTTTTCATTTATGCAAAATATGTAAGCGTAAGCAAAATGATGAAAAAAAAATAGAGCACAAAAAAAGAAATGAAAACGCACACTGGATAAAAAGAAATTAAAATACAACATAAAAATCAGTCTATTTGGATTAACACTTACCGTTGCTTCAGCATATGGAGGTGGGTCACATTTCATCAGCGTTGGTATTTCATTTTTATACGCATCAAATGAATTGATCGTTGGTGGAATTTGCTGTTTGTCTTTCTCCTTTTGTGCTTTCTTCTCTTTGCGTTTGATTGCACATTGATTTTCTGGCACTACACACTCGGGTCGCATACCAACCGCTAAACATTTCTTAAGCCGACATTCCTGACATTTGCGTCTCATATACATATCCATTTCGCATTCGTGTCCAAATTTACAACAGTAGACCGCATTTTTGGTAACACTCCGTCGAAAAAAACCTACAATTTGTGCATACAGAGATGGAAAACAATGAAAATCAATTTGAATGTGTGAAAAGTTGCGCGATATAAATAATTGATATCAATGTGTTTACCTTTACAACCCTCACACGTAAGCGCATTATAATGATAACCAGATGCTCTATCACCACAAACTAAACATAATTCTTCTTGTTGCCGAGGCGTTGGACCTTTTTTGGCCCGTTTTGGATCACTGCAGTCATTCATGCCATAATCGTTGAGACTGCTCGATGGCGAAAGTTCCTCTGAACCTGCATAGCATACAAGACAATAAAATAAATAGAAAGCGTCAATAGATATACAAATTTGATAAATCATCTTTCATATGATGCTTAGAATAAAGAGAAATTCCAACAAAAACGGATGGTACGAAGGAAAAAATTGCCGATTCAAAGATATTTCAGTAGATCAAATATTTTCGGTACCATGTCTGTGTCTAACCATAAGGCATATATTGATTTTTCACTTACCAATCATATTTGGTTCTTGTCGACTTAAATAGGGTGAATTATTATCAACATCGAGGTTCAAGGCGTACGCACTATTATTTGAAATGCTGTCGTTCGTCTTTAACAATCGATAAATGTAATTTTCATTGAAATCGACCATCCGATCGCCATCACTATTTTCGTCCATTGCATTTGCATTCATTGGCAACAGGTATCCATTTTCAATGAGAGATTGTAACAATGCAATGGCCTGCGTTTTACTATTTGCTTTATTGCTATTTAGCAAATATGTAATAAAATCATTACCACGATTTTGATACGGTACAGATTTGGTGAGTTCTTCGTACAACGCTTTTATTGTTGCTATATGCGGCTGTTGTTGTTGTTGCTGTTGCTGTTGTTGATGCGCCACACTTTTTCGACTATCGACATTATTTGCTAAATAAATTTTATCCGAATTAATATTGCCATTGCCCGATACATTATTGATGCCAATGCTGCCATTTCCCGCTGTAAAACTCATTTTACCATTCACTTTGATCGATCGCATCGTCATATTATTATCGATTGATGACTGTGAATCATTTGAATATTGTTGTATGTGTGATGGTGGCGCTTGCACTTGATTTGACTGCGAATCATTTGTAATTCTGCATTGAAAATTCAAAAAATAATAAATTGAATTGAGAACAATGAATTAAATAAGAATTTTTTTTCGAAGAACTGTCGAAAAAGACAGAGTAAATGATGACAAAAGTAAAACAAATTGATGAGAGTGAGCATGAAAATGGGTGAACAAAAAATTGCTGCTTTTATTTCAGATGCGCGAGCGCAGTTAAAAATTCAATACAGATGACTTCTTTTCAGTAATTGTGACTCAATGAGTGATTTGCAATCATTAAAAAAATCAGTTAAAATGGCACATAGAAAATGAGTATGTTCGAGAAGAAAAATAAATGTTGTGTACCTGTTCGAGTTAATTTGATTTTGTGCAGCGCCCGTTGTGTGTATGGTGGCAGTGAATGGTTGTTGCGAATGTTGCGTACCCGACATGATAATTGATGCGTTCAAAGTGCTGCCATTATTATTTGCTGTCGGTATCACATTAAAACCACTATTATTGCTGTTAACAAACGACGTCCAAGACGGTGACGATAACGATTTAGTCGGCGATTGAATGTTACGACTCATTTTTTCTAAATTTCAACAAACACAAAATTGGCCAATCGATGATTGTCTCTCTTGACAGAAGAGAGCACGTTTTTATTGTTGTTGTCGTTTTGTTGCGGCGTATTTGTGTTTATATGTGAGTGTGGTTTTGTTTTATTTTTGCTTTGATAAAAAAACAATGTCTTTTTATCCGTATCGTTGATTAATATTTATCGTTTTTTTTTATATTTGCAGTTTGTTTCACTTTTATTTTTGTCAACGAAATGCATTTAGAATATGAAAAATCATTGTACACCAACCTAGCCATGCATCATTTAATTTTTTTCATTTGATTCACTTTTGCCTTACATCATTCACTTGCATTTGCACTTGCACTTGCACTTAATTGGCTTTGGCATACTTCGCATTTCCTCCTTTTTCGGCGCATACACGAACACTTAACAAAGGTGAAATTATTGTGTACAAATGTCTCTGTTTTGTTTTTTCGTTAAATATACGAATTATTAGCGATTGTTTTGGCTGTATGTCACTTCATCATCATTTTATATCTAAGCACATGCACACACAAAACATTTCGTAATTAATTAGTATGCGAAATATTTTAGCGAATAACATTCCATTGATGAATTCCATTAATCCACATTGATATCTGCAATTAGACAAAAGATAAGAAAAAAATTATTATCTGTGAAGTGAATAATTTAAGAATTTTTTGATATATTCGTCGTCTATTCGTCTAGACATCTATTTTAAAATCAACGAAACTCCAAAAAGAGTCAGTGAAATTCTTGAATTGAGATGCAAACAAGTGTAAAAAGTTATCGATTCACTTAAAAATAGGAATCGTTGATCTTTTAATTTTGATATACAATGTATATAACGAATATTCGGGTTAAAAAAAAAAAGAATCTTTGTATATACACTGAAGATAGTGAAAAATGGCTACAATTTAGCCTACACATCGGCAAGAGTTTTTTTAAAAAGCATTAGTGAAGAAGGAATGAATCGTCTCAAGTGGTGTTCTTGACCTTAAGTGAGAGTTTAATTGGTGAACAATTACCTGCACCAAGAAGACATAAATATCTTCAAGTATCAAGGAATTGAGTTAGAATTCTTTGTTTAAGATTTATATTTAATTTAATGTCTGTCTCGCTTATTTTTAACGAACAAAATGGTTTAAACCATAAAACCAAAAAGTTTTAATGCTGGTAAAGATTGCTGTTTTACTTTTCATTTATTTGTTCAATGAAGCATGTTGTGGTATTTAGTGTTGTTGATGTTTACATTAAAGTCGTTTTTAAATTGCATCAAGTTTGTCAAAATGAAAATGAAATAATCTGATTTGAAATGTTTAACTTTTTTTTTTTCAATTGAATGTGAACGCATAAATAAGAAGACTGCGCTGTAAATCAATGCTTTTAATTTATAACAGATGATGAAAAAAGACACTAACACACCGAATATATTTTTTGATGTTGCTTTTTTATTTGTTGCTGGTAATAGTCAAGGTTGCTTTTCATCGAAATCGTTAAGTCTGGCGTGTATGCGCGTTCTTTTTTTTGCGGCAATAAAATTTGTTTTTGTGCTTCGATCGTTCGCATTTGAAATGGACAACGACTGAAATTGCAATATTTCACAATTTGTGTGTACGCTTTTTTGTTTCGTTTGCTTTGAATGTTTCAATCAATTTTAAGACCACTTGAACACACTCTTATTTCATTTTATTGTATTATTTATTTGGCCATTTACAAGTGCATTGAGTGATGATTTTAATGCACGTTGTCGGTCATTTTCAATGATCAATACTGGCTGTGAAATATAAATCAAACTTTTTGAATTCCATTGCAATGATGCGATACCACTGAAAAAAAAAATGAGAATAAGCAACAATAATTTTATCATTTGACGCATTTCGGATGGAAACAAACATCCATGTCTAAAAACAGTTTTTTGTTGTTGTTGTTTCGGTGCCGATCTACAAATCGGTTACAATTCAGAATCCTAACGAGATTCAGTGGTTCGAGTGCATTATGTTTGTACATGTGAGAGAGCGCGTCGCTGTGAACAATTCTCTATCGGGAACGATATAGATAGCGAAAGTGTGGGCAGTGCCGAGAAATGCTTCTGGTTATAATTCTCGTTGCATGCAATATCAACCCGAAAAAAAAAACGTAGTGCGAACAGCAATAAAAACACAAACTTTTACTATATATATTTGAATAAAAGGAGAGTGCGCGCACAAGAAATCTTCGGCTATATGAATGGCAACGAAAAATTTATTAACGAACAAAAAGTGAGTTTTAGAGAGAGAGAAAGAAAAACGGCAACCAACACTACTTGACTCTCTCAAAATCGAAATACAATATAAACGATGGACGACCTTGTTCTGATGTGTTGAGGTCACACTCCTTCACTATGCACATACACACACACACATACTCTATTCATTATAATTTTCGACAATTTTTGTGGTTTATATGTTCCATCTTTTAGTTTTCGGCATGTACTTCGTGTATTTGTTTGCCTCTGCATTTTTACCGTCGTCCATTCTCAATTCTCGTGTACTTTGTAAAGTTTTTTTTCCCTATAGTTCATGACAAACACAAAGTTGTCGTTGTTATTCGTTTTTTTATATATTTTTCGTTTCTCCGGGTTTTTCACAGTTGGATATAATTTGTAGTAATTTCACTTCGTGTCCAATTTTTCAAAGCAGGTTTTTTGTTCGTTTATAAGTTCGTTTGTTTGTTCTGTTTTGTATGTATGGTTTATGTACGGGGTATTGCTCAAATCGGTTGTATTTATCCGAGGTCAAAGGTCATCAAGCATTAATTACATACTTTGTTAGTTCATGTATATTTATGTGCGCTCACATTTGTGTCGAAATGCCAGAACGGGACATAGCAAAATATCGAAACGAAGAAAAAAAAACGAATACAAACGATTTAATAGCAATAAAAAAAAGTGTGTGTATTTTAATGTTTTAATTGAATTTTGTGAATCAAAATTGGCGTTGATGATGTTTAATGCGTTTGCTTGTACGGCATTCGAAAAAAAATCTGATTATGAATTTATTACTGACGTCGTTTAAATTTCAGAATATTTGTAAATATTTAAATAATTTTAATAATATTGCCATAAATGAAATTGCACACATTAATGCATCACAAAATCAAATGAAATATGCAAAAAATGTTCATTGATTCTTTTTTTTGTGCATATTAATGTATTTTTTTTAATGCGTATAACAGAACAATATAGAAATCCAAGTCAAGTTGATACATCAAATCAATAACACCACACCATACAATACAATAAACAACAACACTCTAGAAGTGTTTAATGACAGTGCAGTTAATCGATCGATAATGAAAGCACCATGGCTGTTTTTGCTCGTTTTTTTTTTGTTTAAGTCGTTAAATTTTATAAAAACAATGTGTCCAATGCGATGCATTATGGTCAAATACCCGTCTAAATGGAACCCAAAATACCTGACAATGCAACAGTGTGGGAACTTTAACTGAAATAAGAGAGAATAAATAGTTCAGAGCAGAGAGAAAGAGAGAAAAAATTATAATTAATTTTACTTGACGCTGCATTTATTCCATATCAAAACAACCGATTTTGGAAGAAGAAAAAAAAAAAAATACAGAACGACACATAACATGTATTCGAGATTGGCTTAAATCATGTTTTATAATAAACATCAAACACAAAAATATAAATAAAATACTGAATGGAATTAATATTTTTTTAATTCTTTAAACTTTACTTTGGTCGCTATCGAAATTGTTATTGTATTCGAAATAATATGCAATAAAAATTGTTTATAAGCACAATTATGTATAGTATACATTGTATACATACAAAATAATCAAGCAAAACACACAAATTTAATAATGAATTTTGACAAATGACAACAACAAATCAAGTAGCCAATAATATTGTACTAATAAAGCGCATCCACTCTCACTATGGATTGTTGCATTGATTTAAAATGAAATTGCAAAAAGCGTAAATATCAAAAGCATACCAATAAAACAAAAAGTGAATATCAAAGTGACAAATATTGAGGTGGCATCGATGAGGGCGGCAACGGCACTGGCAACAGTTGTATAAACAGTACAATAGCCATACTACTTCAGAGAGTAAGCGCTAAAAACACTTATAAAAATGCTATACATTTATTACATGATTTTAATCACTCTACGAGTGAGAAAGCGAACGAATAACCGGACGAACGCGAATGAGCGCGAAGAAAGTTAAAAGAATATGTTGTATTGGTTCGTTGTCTTCTGATTTTGTTCGGCGGTCATAGCCCATATAAACTAAAATATCGTCATTTGCAAATGTCAACAACAATAACTCTGTGAAAAAAAATCGCCCGTAACGGTAACGGAACAGAAAAAAAAAACGGCACACGGCCAACGTATCGTGTTCGGTTCGACTAACTCTCTCTCACGCTCGTGCCTCGTTGCAAATGCAGCAATCAAATTGTGGAAAACACCGATTTACACATGTACACACATGAATTGAACGAATAAGAGGAAAAAAATACCGAATTCACGAACGCGTCGAAAAACGGTCAACAGAGATTCATCAACAGCAACAGCAACAACAACAAAAAATTGAAATTTTTTTTCGAATCTAAAAACCGAACGTGTCTGTTCGTTTCGCTATAGCAAACGAAGAAAATCGCAAATTTTGTTGTTTTCATACACAAACGAAGCAAAATAGAGCTTGCCGCAAGCAAACGAGAGATTTCAACACATCACACACATATGATTTGTGATGACTGCCGACTGACTTTCTCTATCTCGGTCGCTCATCGTCATTGGATCAGTAGTAAAGTCGACAGCAAAGCAAAAAAAAAAAATATCTATATTGTGTATATACGTGAAGGCAGCAAATAACAATTGAAAAAAGGCAGCAACTTTACTTTTAGATCAACGACTGGTTTTGCGCATTTCCAACCGAATTCCAAAGAATCACAGCATGCAAACTAGCTAAACATTGCAAATTTTATATAAATGTATTGGCGTTCGATTACATCGATTATTATCATGGTTGTAATGTAATTGGAATTTGTGGCTTCAAGACTCGGATCTATTGTATTATTCGCTTTCTTCTTAGCCAGTGCAAATCGAACATAATCGAACGGCAACAGCAACGACAACAACGGGCAACAATGTAGAGAAGGAAAAAAAGCACAAAATAATTACATTTACAAGCGTTGCGATTGTATTCGCTTATGTACGATCTGGGAACACATACATTTTGTAGATTTTCTTTTTTTAGTTCTGCCATTTAAATGTATATACCTAGTATATTGCGTTGGATATTTCTAGTGCTTTTGTACTGATACATGAAAAAAAAGGGAAATTTTCGTTTTGGGGTCAAAATCACACACATACACGCAACCGCTCTCAATCACCGATTCCGCATGCAAACAGCACTTGCAAACGAACACTATTTGCTCTCTTTATCTTCTATCTCTTTTCATCTTTCGTTTGGCCAATGCATCTTACACTCTCACTTGTACACGCTAACATCGTTTTCCACATTCGATTGCATTTCTCACCAATACGATATATACACACATTTGTGTATATACATTGGAACGAAATGGCGATTAAACGCGCAGACGGATGC